CACACACACACACACACACACACACACACACACCAGGAGTTATAAGGTTAATGGGCATCCAGTCAGTGCAAGACAATATAATTTCCCCATATTAGACAATACAAATCCTCGCAATAGCACACCTGTCGGGAATTAACATTACAGTCTTTAAAAAAAACACATCATGTTGTTTTAAAAAAAGATCAATTTTCCTTGAGATTGCTAACAAAGTTAATCAAAAACTAGTAACTTAACTGTTAGCTTCAGTCATTTGGAGAAAGAGAGCATCCAGGTTACTGAAGACATTGAAAAAAGTGAATTATTATTAATTATGTATTATCTCAGCATTTTGTCTTTCTTAGAACTAGCGCCAAGATATTACTACTGAAATAATAAGTTGAAATTTCACTGGTGGAAACAAACTGTGGAATATGAAGACTTAAGGTTAAAGGTAAAATGTATATGTGGACCTGTGGTGGGGGTGGGGGGGTAATTCAGGAAAAAAAAACAACAACAAATAAGCCAACAAAACTAAAAATTAGCCCTGCTATGAGCCGGCAGATGTGCCTGACAGACTGAACTCAGGGCACCGAACGTCCCACAACACAGTCCTAAGTAGTGACGTCGTCTTCCTCTTAGTGACTGCTGTTATCAAGATGGCGCTGCGGCCAGGATCTGGGGGAGGTGGCAGGTATTTTAGCCATTTTAAACTGACTCATTTCAGGGGAAGTAATTTGTGCGTGAAACATTCACCCCCGACAGTCGCGGGGCTTCACATTTAGCCACGAGGACGCCCTCAAATATCGCGATAAAGGCTGGCTTAGTTTGTCGGAGCAGGGAGATGAGATGAGATGGCTGGTAGTCAGGTGCCACAGCTAACGTTAGCTGGCTCCTTCTGCCTTTACCTGTCCATGTTCAGAGTGGACCAGACTAACTCCACGGTGTGGTCATATTAACAGATTTCACGCTTAAGTTATTCTGTGGTAGTCATAGTGTCCATTGCTCTCGGTCTCTGGTGATATAACGCGATACTTGCTAGATGAATCTCTTGTAGCATTGCTAGGCAGGCCTGTGGGTGGCTGGTAGGGACACATATTTACACTTTCTCAGAATTATGTTTTCTGTTATTAGGGATTTAGTATGGTGTTGGCTATTTACGAAGATAAAGCATTAGGACGTGAAGATTTGTGGGGAAGGGGTTGATTTAGTTAAGTTTTTGTCCCTGTAACACACCAAGCAGCAGAGACTCTAAGCCCTTCTTCAAGAGTCAGATTGCTCTAATAACTCTCTGCTGAATTACATAATCAGCCCTGTCGCACATGCATATTCCAGTAAGTAGCTGTAAATGGTGAGGAGATGTTCAGGTGTCTTATTAAAGCAGTGTGATGATGGTCTGCAGAGGAGATGAAAAGGCCAGCCTCATGATTTTTTCATAACACGAGCTCCAGCACCCTGAATAATAAATATACTCTGGCTACAAGGCTAGCCAGGTGATACTGATCTGACAGGTGAAACCAAAGCCCTCAAGACTGTCTGTGCCATTCTTTCACTGTGGCTGGTAAAGCCTCTAATGTATACTCTGGTAGATTTGGGCTATATTTATATATTCAAAAAATGTGTCATTTATGAGATGGGCCATGCTTAACTTTGACTTTGGAAATCTTTTTTTTTTTTTTTAAAGTATCTACTTCCATGGTACAGTGTGACTTTTTTATAATCAGTGGTCCCATTTGGTAAAAAACAATCTTGGAAACTTCAATCTTGGAAATCTTGGAAACTGAGTAGCTGCAAGAAATTACAACGTGGGTATGATAAAAGTAAAATGTACCTGAATGCTAAAGTGCAAAGCCAGGAGGTGAAGCCTGTTTGAGAATTCCAGCAACCTTTTGTAGTTTGTAGTAGGGCTGTTCGATATAACGATATATATCGGATGACAAAACGTCTATCGTTTCATTTTACGCTATCGTTTGTTTCGTGGTGTCGCAAAATAAACTGTTTACAGCAATATTTTTTC